CCCTAAAACATGTCCAACCCACACTACCCCAAAACCAATAGCAAACAATCAAACCCACTTCATACAACCACCATTGCCACAGGATCATCAACCTCTCTTGTGGGTGGAGCAAGACTTGATGGGCCATGCAATAACATTCAGTATGGTGCTCAATGGTCAAGACACGATCATAGTTCTTCAAAACTCCCATTTCCTAGCTCAACTAGTCTCAGAGGGGATGAATATGTCCATGAACAACTACTTCAACCATGTGTGGTTGAACAATATCCTCCACCCACTAGCCCCGTCCCTAAATCTCAACCAAGCACAAGCCATGAGGAGTCAATGGAGCCTCCCACCACACTTCAATCTCATTCAGTCCCAACAAGTTCCAGTGGATCTCCCATTCTTTCCCCCAGGAGAGATGAACAACATGAATCCCATTTTCATTCCATGGACAAACCCATTCGATCCAGTGGTCCCAGAAAACAACCAACAACAACCCCATGCACAACCACCACTACATGCACAACCTCCACCACCACAGCCACCACTTGCTCAACCACAAAACCCTCCAATGAACCCTCAATTTCAACCCCCTCTCAATGCACTAGAACAAGAAAATGTGGAAATGGAGGAGGAGGAAGAAGTAAACCTCCTGGGATCCGGTCCAGTCCTAGAGCTTTCAAGGATCAACGAGGTAAAAGTATACCTCTTTAGAGACCAAAGGGAGAAAAGGTATGTGCTAAGCTGTCCAATAGCACTACACAAGTTCTCCATGGATGTGCGACCCCCTCAAGACCCAACAGTTGGAAATCATGCCATGATTCTGGTTCCTTCACTAAGGAGGAACCCAATTCATCCAGCCCAGAGGGAAAATGGGACACCACCTAATCTTCCAAATATGTATAGGCCTACTAATGTGATAATATGGAACATCCGTGGTGGAAATAATGAAAATTTTAGGGTGAACTTCAGAGAAATGCTTGATACTCATAAGCCATGCATGGTTGCCCTTCTGGAGACTAGAATGGAAAGTCACTTATCCCTTCTAAGTGATTTTGATTTTTCCCAAATGATCGAGGTGCCTAGCGAGGGTCAATCAGGAGGTATAGTTCTTCTTTGGGATGAAAACGTGGTCAGGGTCCATGACTTTGTTAGGAACAATCATGAAATCCATGCTATGATCGAGGTACTTCCTTTAAAAATTACTTGGTTATTTTCATCTGTTTATGCTAGCACTAAGTTGTTTAAACGTCTAGAAATGTGGAATAACATAGAAAAAATAAGCAAGACTGTTAATGGCCCTTGGCTTCTTGGGGGGGATTTCAATGATGTTATTAACTACAATGACAAGCTTGGAGGCAACTCCATTAACAGTAGATGTAGCACATAAATCTGGAATAGTATTAACTTTTGTAAACTTTTAGATTTAGGCTACAAGGGTTGCAAATACACTTGGTCGAATCATAGGAAGAAATCTAAGGGTCTAATTATGGAACGACTTGATAGAATTTTTGTGAACAAGGAATGGATTGACCTAAGGCAGTAGTGATTCATCTCCCTAAAACCCATTCGGATCATAATCCCCTCCTTTTAAATTTGAAACCTAGGCATGCTAACAGTGTGGATAAGCCTTTTCGTCTAGAAACTATATGGTGTAGGCCCCCTGATTTTATTAATCTTGTTAAAAAAAAATTGGCTTAGTGAAGACCTAGTGGATGCTCCGGAAAATTTTACCAAAGATGTTATAAATTGGAAAAACTCTACCTTTGGTGACATTTTCAAGAAAAAGAGAAATCTACTTGCTAGACTAAATGGTATTCAATCTTCTCCTCATTACTACAGTAGTGACTTCCTTCAAAATCTTGAATCAACTCTTCAATAAGAATATAACAAAATCTTACACATGGAACATGACTTTTGGAAGTTGAGAGCTAGGAGTAATTGGATAAATGATGGTGATGCCAACACCAAGTTTTTCCATATTATGGTTTCTAATCGTAAACGTCGTAATGCCATTATGTATTTCACTAATGAGAAAGGAGATTGAATAACTGATCCAAACGAAATCATGGATCACTCCTTCACTTTCTTCAAAGAGGCCTTTCAAAGTGCTCACATTGTCTCCCCTATAAAAATTATTACCCATGATCCCTCTGCCTTGAATAAAATTGATTTGCAATGTCTTGATAACTCTCTCTATTAGTGAAATAACTAAAGCCATCTTTTCCTTCAAACCATTCAAGGCCCCAGGCCCGGATGGCATGCACCCTTTTTTTTATCAGAAATATTAGCATGTAATTAAAGACTCCTTTATTTCTTACTGTAAAAATATTTTTTTCCACTCAATCCCTTCCAAGTGGAATAAACAACACTTATCTATGCCTCATTCCAAAATTCCCTAATGCAAACAATCTCAAAAATTTCAGACCTATTGGTCTTTGCAGTACAACTTATAAGGTAATTATTAAAATAATTGCTAATAGGCTGAAATCTTTCCTCCCACTTCTCATTAGTCCCATGCAATCTAGTTTCATGAAAAATAGAATAACCAGTGATAACGCTATAATCATACAAGAAATTATGGGTCTTCTTAAACGTTCCAAAAACTCTAATTTAAACATGCTCATTAAGTTGGACCTTGAGAAAGCTTTTGATAGATTGGAGTGGTCCTTTATTTATAAAACCCTCCACTACTTCAAATTCCCTCCTATGTTAACTAAGCTAATCATGCATTGTATTACTACTAGTTCAATAGGGGTCCTGGTAAATGGTACAAAAACCAATTTCTTCCAACCTACTAGGGGTATTCGTCAAGGTGATCCCCTCTCTCCTTACATTTTCATCCTGTGTATTGAACTCCTTTCTAGGCTCATCAACCATCAAGTTGATCATAGGAATTGGGACCCCATCCAAATAGGTCACAAGGAACCCTCTTTCTCCCATTTACTCTTTGCAGATGACATTACTCTTATGGGAAAGGCTAACAAAAAAACTAGTCAGTGTATTAAGGGATGCCTGACTTTTTCTCCAAAGAGTCTGGACTTACCATAAACAATTCTAAATCCAGAATTGTTATCCCCTCCCATTGCCCAAAGGAGATATCAATCTATCTACATTCCTTTTTTGGCATAAAATGTACCATTGAGTTTGGAAATTATCTGGGATTCCCTATCCTCAATAAAAACCCCAAGGCCAAGGACTTTCAATTCATTTTGGATAGATTACATAATAGGCTCTCCCATTGGAAATGCTCAATCCTTAACATGGCTGGCCGTACCACACTAGTAACTAGTACCCTAGGAGCAATTCCTTCCCATATAATGCAATATACTCTCCTTCCATCCAAAACCCTCAAGTCCACGACAAAATTCAAAGAAATTTTATTTGGGGTACCACTAATACTTCAAAAAAACTCCATCTCATTAATTGGGACATGGTCACTAAGGTTAAAGGGGAGGGTGGCTTAGGTATCCGCAAGGCGAAGGAAATTTTTTTTGTCTCCCTAGCAAGCCTAGTGTGGAGACTATTAAAAAATCCATCCTTGCCTTGGTGTCAATTACTTCCAAGTATGCCTACTCAAAAAAATTTACAAACCTTTCTTTCATTTGGAAATCCATACTTCAAGGATGGAAACTATGCAATAGTGGGATCCTATGGCATCCCTCAAAAAATTCGTGCTTGAACATTTGGCATAATAATTGGATTTATAATACCCCGACCCTAAGGACCACTATTGAGGGCCCCCCCAACATTTCTGACCTTAATCTCTCCTTAGGCAACCTTTATAAAGGCAAAGTTTGGTACATTAGTAAAATTAGCTTCGAGCTACCTCCCAATATTACCAAGAATATTAACCTTACACCTACACCCTCTAAAAACTCCAAGGTTGATGACCTCAGTTGGAATCTAAACTCCATGGGTGCTTTCTCCACAAAATCCTGTTATCAACTTCTTAATGCAGCCTCCACTTCTTCCAATTGTTATAAATGGATTTAGGATCTCCTATGCCCCAACAAGATTAAAATATTTCTTTGGAAATGTAGTCACAATCGTGTCCCTTGTAGAGCTTATCTTAATAAAATTGGCATAAACATTGATGCAACTTGCACTACGTGTAGAATGGGCATTGAAGATATTCATCATATTTTTCTTCACTACACGTCTTCCCTAAGATTCTGGAAGGCCATGGGCATAAGTTTTCAAATCAATACGGGTGACATAAACTGGCTCTCAAAGCTTCGAGATGCCTTCATTAATCAAAACCCTCACTTGATAAATTGGAAAACTCTCTTTCCCTTTTGCATCTGGGAAATTTGGAAGAATAGAAATAATAATAATAATGTAAACAACCTTCATGGTCACCTCTCTATAAAAACTCCCATGCATTCTGCATGGGAATATCGTTTCTTCGCGGAAAGACACCCCTTTAAAAACAAGATATTAGCTGTTGAAACCAGATGGCATAAACCTCCTATAAACACTATCAAACTTAACTGTGATGGTGCTTTCTCTTCTACTAGCAATGCAGCAGGTATGGGTGGATGTTTTCGCAATAGCAATGGTGACTGGATCTTGGGTTACCAAAAAAGAACTCATGCAGCCTCCCCAATCCATGCAGAACTCTTGGCCCTCCTAGAAGGACTAAGAATTGCACTAGACTTTAGAGACACAAACCTGGAAATCGAAACGGATAGCACAAATGTCATCAAACTACTACACGAAGAAGGCACTAACTTTCAAAATGTCATTCTTGAATGCAGGTGGTTAATGCACCGGCTGAAGCTCCCAATACTAAGGCACAACTTTAGGGAAGGAAATGAAGTAGCTCATCGACTGGCTAAGGAAGCTTTGAGAAAAGATCCCAGTGACAAGTGTTTTTACCTTGCTCGTCCACCTCTTTTTGTGCAAGAAGAAATCCAAAAGGATAAGCAAGACTCTTGTAATAGTTTAAGAACTATGTCTACTAATGTTTGTAATTTCCTAGCAACTTTGGGCAATAGTAATGCCCTCAACTCTATGTCAAACTCGTGTAACTCTTTTGTTAAGTAATATAATTATCGTGCTTTTATGTTCAAAAAAAAAATCTCATGTCAAATCGATGACAAACATTACTTTCATAGAGTGAAGGATTATTTTGAGAATCCTTATTATTCTCATTACCACAATGATGACGATTATAATTTCGTCTATTGTCACGTCCACCTCCATTGATACCTTCACGGTAATAATTTTATCTTCTTTCAGACTTATTACATATCGCTACCACATTCTCTTAAGGGAACGAGAATGAAGCAAATTCAATGGGATAAGTTTCCACTTCTTGTGCTCATAATCATACATGAATTTGATCATTACAAGACATAGAAATTTTATCACTTTGGGTGGTTATAATTCCTCACAAACTCCATTAGAGTTATAATCAAAATTTATTGTCTTTGCTTGTATTTAAAATCAAATTATAGAATGTCAAGAATTTAAAAGAGAAAAATAAGGTAGAATACGTACCTTAAATCCAGAATTTATTCCTGAGGGAAGTTCATGGAACAATTGTCAATCATTATGCTCAATATTATTTATATGTCGAGCACCATGCACGTATCCCAAAGCCTCTATTCAATTGGTTGGAGTCTCGTGTTGATAACGTGTAATGGAACAATAAAGAAGAAGAAGAAGAAGAAGAAGAAGAAGAAGAAGAAAAGTATTGCAGAGAAAAGTAGAGAAAGATTCTTCTTAATTTGGGATGAATTACAATGGAATAAAACACATATATTTATAGGGGGGAAATAACTTAACCACCAAGTAACAAACCCTAAAATCTCTCTAAAATATAGACATTCACCTCGAATACAATTCTATTTATAACATGCCTATAAATTTACTTACTGATTCCCAATCATCTGAACAAACTTTTTGCTAGGCCATAAATTGCAGAATTGTCAACCCAGACCCTTGGTGTATAAACTTCAAGCTTCATTCAAAAATACCGCCAAAATGCTAGTCCAACCCAATCTTAAGTATGCCACGTGTTATGATAGATTACACGTACATTTTTCATTCGCAATATACATCAAACAAAATATTTAAAAATAAAAATCAATAGATAAAGTAGATAATTCACCAATAAAAATCTCAAAGTCAAAGTGAAGATATAGTTCACAATTAACTTGTTCTCATTTAATTATTCATTCTTGCTTTTGAAAATATTAAATTACCTTACAACCTGTAATTATGTTAAAACAAATTTTAACTGCAATATCACTTTCTATGGGAACATAATTCATGCAATCGACAACTAAATTGGTAGAGAACTCATGGCAATTTGAGCATGGACATTAGGCCAATTGGCCATCTATGCTTTCCCTCGAGTTTCGGGGAGGCTTTTATTTGATGAACTGTTTTCCTTTTTCCCCCGCCTCGAACCCGTGAAACGAGCAGGCTGACTGGAGTTAGGCTAAAAGGTCTCGTCTGAAATGAGCTAGTCTAACGGGTGATTTGCACAAATAGAATCATTTAGGGCCATTGTTAATATTTTCACTCCGTTAAGAAAAATTTTAGAAAAATAGCCCCGCGCTGCTATAATTTTAAGATGCGCTGCTATAATTTTAAGACGCGCTGCTAAAATTTTAATGCACGCTACTAGAACTAAAAAATTTGTCCTTCAAAATTTTAGCAGCGTATTTTAAAATTCTCGCGCAGGGCTATTTTTTTCAAAAATTTTCTTAATGGGATCAAAATATAAACAGTAGTTCTAAATAGGTCCATCCAGCGTAAAAGTTGCATCAGTTTAAAAGAAAGTTATTTACATAACACTATGTAGATGCTTCACTTTTTAGTAATCCCAACCAAGTCTAGAAAGTAGTAGTAATTGTTTTTTGGAAGGTAGATTTACAAGCTAAATCCAAAGATATTCAAGCTGCAAATATTTGAAAATCAGAGTCCACACCCCACATTGTAGTCTAGCAACAAAATTCTCTTACAGGAGACCAGAAGAAACTAAAATGCTACATTTTTTGTTTTTCCCCACATGAAGAGCACAAACGCCTATCATGACAATAAGGCAAGAGAACAGCACCACTTTCATCAATCATTCACCGAAGAAAGATCACTTAGAATGGCTACTTCCAAGAGCCTCTTGCAACGAAAGAAACCTAGCAGCCGTATGTCAATATTCGACAAGCGAGTACACACAAATAAGAAAATATTTTGCACTGCAATAATGCAGGTGAACAGGCTCCCATACCGTACCCGTCTTCATATCCATTGGAGAGAAGCTGATTTGACACAAATAATCTGGTGTAAGTCATCAATCAGCCTATTGTAGAAAAGTGAATCAAGTCATCTATCTGCCTAGTGTAGAAAAGTGAATTAAGTCATGAAGTAGGCTTCAGCGATCCTCAAAATATCAGAACAGAACCAAAAACTATATGATGCTATTGTTATCCCAAAAGGAGCTCTTTAATGTCCATCGATTAACCTATGGCTGGATCATGTTGAACTGGAATCTGGAAAGCTGTTGAGGGATTGTGGATATCACGGGTCCATATCTCTGCCATGATTTAGGAGAGCATTAGTATGATGAGACAGATTTATGAAGATGGTCATATACACCTTACTTGAAAGAACAGAATATGATGCAACAGAGAGAATAAATTATTCCATACCTGAACATTGTCGTAAAGTTCAAACAATGGCACAGCAAGAAGTTTCAGATTTTTGGGGACCGCAAAGTACTCTCTTTCAGAAAGGTGAACAATGAAGAGCTTCTTACACTCCTGCACGACATTCAAAGAGTCAACTACATCAGGAAAATAAAACAAGGGGATAATTCAGCCATTCAGAAAAAACTTTATACTATTATACCTTTGGTTTTGATATGTGGGGAGGGCAGTATGGATACATTATGGTTTCAAAGTTCGGCCTCCACCAGGTGGCCACGCACTCACCTATCTGCATTGACAAATGTCACATCATAAGAAGACATGTTGACAGATATGTTCAAAGAGGGGGAGAGGGGGGGGA